GCAGCAATTGTTTAACTTCCTTGGACTAGAAGAGAATTAAGAAATCTAGCTAAAGGTTTTCTTCACTCTCTCCAAGATCCTGATGGGTTCACCAAGGAGTTAGAATTAGAACGTATGATTCTCCCTATTCTCACCTATTTTAATTAATATACTTATTGGTTTAGGAAGGACAAAGATAAAGATACTGAAAGGACAGAACAGAACTGATAGCTGTGTCCCTAACTCCTCTTCCAAGAAAAAGCTGCTGAATGTATCAGTTACTCAGCCTGCCCTCATCTCAGCCAATGGGAAAGAACCAACCGGAATCGGCCAAATCAGTGGTCAGAGTGTGCCCCCGACCCCCGACCCCAAGTCCTATAAATTCTTTGTTCTCTTGGGACTCCAGGCCCTCACACATCCTACCACTACGCCGGTGGAGGCAGAGGGACCAAGCTCAGCTTGAATAAAGACTCTATGCTTTTGCATTGGACTCAGCGCTCCCTGGCGGTGTCCTTTGGGGGATCTTGAAATCTGGGCATAACAATACTAAAACCATGAATTTATAATTCCAGCAAAAAAGCAATCAGGCCAGAGCTCCCTGAAGGCTTTTTCAATAAGGGGGAAAGGAATCTACTTTTACTGTAAAAAGGCAAATCATCTTAAGAAGGATTGTAGAAAATTGAAATGGAATTTAGAAAAAGTAAGGAGACAGGAGTAAGCATAAAGCTACTCTGAGGATCAGGAGAAGGCATTTCCTGTTCTTATGACCAATGAGAAGAAATTGAAATTATCATAAAAGGAGAAACTACTAAGGCCCTTGTAGATATTAGGGCTAATTTTATCTGTTCTTAGCCCCACCCAATTAAGCTGCCCTCTCCCTCAGAGTAAAGCTTCTGTAAAAATGGTAAGGATATCTAATCAGCCAATTAAAACCTATTTTCTTCCAGCTAAGGAATGTTATAGGGCAACATACAATTTTACTATTCAAATCTACCCTAATTCATCAAAAAGAGACTTCCTTGAAACCCATGATGTCTACATCTATTTTTCTCAGGAAATATATTTAAAAGTAAATGAATCAAGTACTGAACCAAACCCTAGCCCAGTGGTTCTCAACCTTGGCTGCACATTAGAATCACCTGGGAATCTTTTTAAAATCCTGATTTCTGGGCCTCATCCTCCGGAAATTCTGTTCCTTTGTTATGGGGTGGGGACACAACATTAGTAACAAAGAAACATAATTTCCGGAGGATGAGGCCCAGAAATCAGGATTTTAAAAAGATTCCCAGGTGATTCTAATGTGCAGCCAAGGTTGAGACCCACTGCTCTAGACCACTCTCAAGAGAGCATTTTCTCAGTCCCTTGATCTGGCTTCCAGGCATGTCCTCTATTTAGCTCAAATAAACTCTAACAAATTCATAAAATTTTCTACAGGTTTGAATGTTCTTATGTTGACAGGGTCTAGTAACACATATACCGTTTCCATATTGATACAGCAGGGAGAAAGATGTAAGTCAGTTATATCATCTATTCCTATTTTGTCTTTTATCTCATTCATAAATGGATAGCTGTTTTAACAAACTACTACGATAATAACTATCAAAATACAATGAGAAAGGTTTTCATAAAGAATTTTAAAGTCCAAATTTTAGCAGGTCATGTGCAGAATCTTGGGATAACTGATTATCCAGATGTCATTTTCTACCATCCTCTCAGCCTTCCTAGATTCTTTACAAAGAAATGTTTATGTTCTAGTCTATCTGGAGACAGAAAAAAAAAAATTAAACCTTGTTAAAAAAAAAAAAAGACCCTTTCTGTGTACAATTGGAGACATTTTAGATTCTGTTTATCTTTTTACTTGCAGGGTTGGACACTAAATTCTCTACCCCAGCCTAAAGTCGGAATTTAGGCTAAAAGTGGAACAGGGGATAAAATAAAAAGAGAATCAGCAATTTTCTCCTTAGAGCTTTTTTTAAAAAATTAATTGTTTACCTTATGACCCCTTCATCCATTTACCCCACTCCCCACTCCCTGCCTGTGGCAGCCACCAATCCCATCCTCCACATCCATGATGCAGGCTTTGCTACTGCAAATAACATGGCAGCACGAAAATCCGTTTACTGAGTAAAGACAAGAGAGAGTCAGAGAGGGGCAGCCGGCTTCCGATGAAAATGCAGAGCGAGGCCTCCGGAGTACAGAAGGGAACTGGAGGTGCTGTGCCAGGAGCCGCGGGCTTCCTCGGAGGGTTTGAGCAAAACACAGGTGGGAATGGAAAGGCTGCCTTCAACTGCCAAGGGAGTGTGTGAGCTGGAAAATTACCGTTATGGGCAGGACAGCAAACGCCCCTCCTCCCCTGTTTCACAGCCCATGTTTACCAGGCTCCCCTGAAGCACCGTCATGGAGGCGCTGGTCCCCCCACCTCGGACCACGCTGCACCCGCGGACTCACCCTGCCTGCCTGTCCCCGGGGCTGCGCCAGCCCTACCTGCGGAGTGACAGCAGGTGCTGTGGAGAGCAGGCTGCTGGAGATGGCACGGGGCGCTGTGACCCCACTGGCTTCTGCAGCGCCCACGGTGGACAGCCTTCCATGTGGGACCCAGGGCCGTATCCCAACATCATGCTCCGGGCTCTGGCATGGCCTTCTTAGGGTTGCCCTGACTGGAACACTTCACCAGCGACCCGCGGCCTTTCCAACACACTGTTACTGCTGCCACTTAGCATCATCATCAGTACCCATGGTGAACCTGTCACCCACGAGGACTCTGGCATGAAATAAATGAGTTCCCCTACAGAAAATAGATAGATGATAGGTAAATTGTTAATAGGTAGGTAGGTAGGTAGATAGATAGATAGATAGTTAGATAGGTAGATAGATAGATAATAGATAATGATAGATGATAGATAGAGAGATAGATAGATAGATAGATAGATAGATAGATGGATATAGTATTGGTGTGGGCAGGTAGCTCAGTTGGTTAGAGCATCCTCCCACTATGCCAAGCTTTCTGGTTCAATTCCCAGTCAGGACACATAGAAGAATCAACCAATTAATGCATAAATAAGTACAACAACAAATCAATGTTTCTCTCTCTCTTGTCCTCTCTCTAAAATCAATAAAAATAAATAAAAGAGATATGATTAATGATTTACTAGGCAAAGATGAGAAAGGAACTAAACTAGGCAACTCTAAAGTTTTCACTTCCTAACTAACAAATAATATTTAATTCAACTGCACATTAATGGTTTAAATGGAGGAAACAACTTCCATATCAGATTTTTGGATACAGCATTTTTATTTAAATCTAATCTTAGGGGGTAAATAATTATTTAAAGGACTCATAATCTCCAAAATTTGACATAATGAACCAGATAACTACCCTAAATAA